TTGTACATTTATTTATATATATATATATAATATATAGTTATACTTTACTCTTAACCTTATAATACCAATACCTATTATATATATATAGACTCATCCTCCTACTTTCATTCATATCATTACATCATCCACATCACCAATCCATTCATGCATATTATTACTTTCCACCTCTCCGTCATCTACATCACATCATCCTATCCATATCTCTACCTTACTTATATCTTATTTTCACTTATGACTATCTCATTATCATTCTTATATTATTCCTACACTCCTATTATTCATTTGATTCTTAACCCTCTTCCTCCTCCTTCCATTTTCTTTTACTCTTATGTACTCACTATAACCTATTATTTATATCTATGCACTTCTCTCTCGTTAAATTATCTTACATCCACAGTACGAGCACCGTAACTATATGAATAATTACGTAACTATACACGTTACACTAACCCCCTGATAAACATTGATATATTATATATATATATGATGAATTTACGACATAACGATATTCCTACTCAGATATATAATAATATTATATGGATATATATAAGATACCAATTACGAACACTACGAGTATAAAGTAGTGATTGAGATTTACGAGCGGAGTCGACGCGCATATTATTTATTTACCGTATAGATAATCGTAATATTTATTTAGCTGGAACGAAAGGTATATAGTAAAGTGAATGTCTGATTAAATATTATCTGATGATGAGATGGGACGCTTATGACTAGGATAATTTAATGATGAGAGTAAAGGTATATATACTGATGGGAAAGTATAGCTTAGCGGGTAATATATATAATATTACTTGGATCACTATATAGTATATAAATATATATATATATAAGTATATAAATATATATATATTATATTAGTATTGGATATATTATATGTATATATGATGAGAAACGACTGATATATAATTAGGTATAAAAGTCTAGGTGATGATTATATATATATATAGTAATAGTAATGAGAAGATAGGTTAGAATCAATTACCGTCACATGAAAATATAATAATAAATAGAAAATACTCCATTTATATATATAATATTATGAACTAGTAATATAATTGAGGTGCCTATATTAAGATTACATAATATATATATATATATTTATTATGATATATATAACATATTATATAATATCGTTATATGATTGTAATCATAGATAGTAATTTATATATTATATAATTAAGCGAGAGTATGGGAAAAAAATATGTGATGAGTATATATGGATATAATATATAGACATATATATAATCATATAATGATGATAGTGCGAAAGAAGGTCATAATTGGCTGAGGAGTTCAATACGATATTACGTTCACTGATGCGCAGTTAGTAGCTCACTCAGAGAGTCTGAGGGGATACCTGAATAACATATTCATATAAATTATATGATATATATATATCACCTAAACTAGATGAGTCAGATAGGTAGGGGGTATAGGGTAGTTATCATCCTGAACTAAGGCGAGGACCGGTATATACCCACAGCTTACTATTATATACTTCTGTAGAGTGGTCTAACGATCTGATACGAAGGTGAGTAAAGCCGATAAAACATAGACAGTTACGAAGTTGGGAGGTAAAGGATATATATACGCGCAGAGGACGTTCAAGTATAGTCGTCACCGCTAGTCAGGTACCTCTACGACCTTGTCTGATTATACCCAGCTATTCCTCATTAACTGATGAACTCATGATTAGATCCCATGTAATAGTCACTTCACTAACCATCACTATCTGACACATTGATCTAGCTCTCATAACGCAGACGCAGAATTATTAGATAGGCTTTACTCAAATATATATATCTATAAATAAATTTATTACATTTATAATAATACACGAAAAAATACAGCAAAACCTATTACTAATGAGATATATATATAAATAATATACAGCATGCACACATATACATCATGCATGCACACAAATAATCTACCATGAACACCCATTATCAAAGATCCCTACTACACCAACAAACAGTGAACACACTAACAAAACACAACACTACAAACCTTACACATCTACAACCAACCACACAGGCCTTCCAGAACAAAACACACAAATATCACACATCCTACAAACTCTCTGGCTATCCAATATTTCCATATACGTATCACTTATTACGATGAGCATACCTTGAGAGTCATTACACGTCATTCAATGAAGTAGCTATATATAGATATAGTGTCCCGCATCTAGAGGTACCACTTTGAATAAGTATAGTCACCGTAATCTAAGGGGCATACATATTACACAGCGAACAAATACGTCACCGTACTTTTCAGGTCACGTAAGCGTATAACTCATACATATCAGAGTAGCGAAGTCACTACAGTCAATCAAGGCGAGAGCCAGACATAGTCACCCATGACATATGTGAGTGCAGGTGGCTTGTATTGGGTCGAGCTGTGCGTAGTGTGTGAGGTGTGGGGCCTGTTCGAGTGTCACCGGCACCAGGTGTTGTGTGTGTGTGTGTGTGTC